TTTTCAATAGTAAAAGCTTAGTTATCTGACTTCCCTCTAAAATATTTTTAACATGCTTTTACTTTTCCCTATCACTTCTAAGTCCCAGTTTTGTCTTTTCTTCATTCTCACTTTTTAGACATATTAACTGCACACGCATTTTGTAACTTCCCACACTTTTCCTACTCTCATTTTCTCCCTGTACGAACTGCTATCTTTAGTCAGCTAGGTGTGCTGTATAAGTATGTATATGAGGTTTCTAGACAAGGGCCTATTTCTTCCAGGAGCCAGTGCCCCACTACTTGCGCCTTCTTTTCTTTGCATTATTTATTGCATAGTTAGGAATTGTAATCACTGAATGTCTGGGAAAGGATAATGGTCTTTGACAGGGCCGTAAGTGTGGCCATTTCTAAGAGCAGTTTCTCCATAATGCTGTGGTTGTCCACTTTCTAATCAGCAAAATTCCAGGTTCTTAGGAACTGATTCACAGTGAGCAGAAATAGAAATTAAGTCTTTTGCATGTCCAGCTCTTCCTGACACATGGAAGGCACTAGATACAGTAAATGTTTATTAAATGACATTACTATCCCAATTCTGCCTCAAACAAATCCAGCAAACATCCATGACACTGCATCCCATCATTCTCACTGTGGCTGTGGTCATTATAATAGTTTCATTTTTACCCTTTTAAAGTCTTTCTTCACACTAGGTTTCTGTTGTTTTCCTGAGATCTGATCACAGGCAGCCCTTTCTTAAAAATCATCAATGGCTCTCTAATGCCAAACTCTAGGCAACTTCGACTACATTCCTAGCTTCATCTCTAGTTTTATAACTGTCCACTTGAGCCCGGTCCACAACAGGCCCTCATATTCATACTTCCATACTTTTCCAGTCCCATTCCCTGGGCTTCTGAGCACCCTTTTTTGCTTGTTAAGATTTTACACCCAACACCCCAAACATCACTTTGACTTCCTGATTCCACAGCAAGAATTACTCCCTTACTCTATACTTTCAGTACTTTAAACATAATTTACTATATTAATTATATTTCCCTCCAGACTAATTCCTTAGAGCAATTATTTACCTTTTCATAGCAAACTATTGTAAGAATGCTTGGTAATTACTACTGAGTACTTTAGCACCGTAATGGTTATGCAAAAAGCCTCAATTCATTTTCTAACATTAGACAATATACCTCCCTACACTACATTAGAAGCCCAATCAAACACAGCCTTTTGCCTAGCAAATATTGTTCTCATTCAGGTGGTTCCCCTCCCAAGAAAACCACCCCACACATTTAGTTTTGCATTCATATTAGTGTTCTTGGATCCTGAAAACCAAATTCTACTTCATCAAACAATGTTGCTAGATACTGACTTTCCCTTCTCACAATAAGAAAGCAGGCAAGTAGAAAATCTGGATGTGCCTACACAAATCAAATTCCAATAGTAGTTTCTACGACTCAGCATAAGTTAATATTTAAGCTTCAAGGTTCAAATTCTCACTTTTAAAAATGTGGTCTTCCTTTATTGCAAACAGAATTTTTAAAACCACTGATTAAAGGTGGCCATTTAAGTTTATATATTTATTTCTTTAATTACTTGTGTGTGTGGTACAGGGGAATGAACCAAGGGCCTTTTGAACTGCACCCTCAGGCCCATCTATGTGAAATTTTGACACAGGATCTCAATAAATTGCCCAGGATGGGCTCAAACTTGCCATCCTCCTGCCTCAGCCTCTCAGAGTGCTGTGATTAGGGGTGTGCCAAGCTTGGCTGCAGAAAATTATTTTTAATTACAACCTGTGTCATGAAACTGACATGGACTCTTCCATCACCATTGCATGACTAAGTTAATGCAGCTGTCACTTGCCACTTGCAAACGGAACAGGAAACGTGGTATTTATAATTCAAATACTTGAATATGGGGCAGATGGACTTAAAATAAAACCTGATTTTTAAAAGTATTTCATGTCATTGTTTTTCAATTTATTCAAACTGGTATTTTACTTCATAGGTTCTAGGTGTATTTTATAAGAGTAGGATTGTTTGCTATCCTTCTTTTCATCAAGATGTATCAATACATTCATAGCACTTGCATGATCAGAATTCACCTTCTGTATTATGTACTCTTTATGAACAAACCCACCAGACTGTGCCTGACACACAGTAATCAAATGTCTTCATTAATGGTCATTAACTTTAGACTCTAATTATAAATGATTACCTCCCAGCATTAAGCCACATCAAGTGCTAAACCAATACAATGAAAACCAGGCTTCAGATTTCTCCAAAGATTTAATGAATGCAAGATGCAGTGTAGCCATATTCTACAAAATGTGATTGCCAATAGGGAGGATGCAGCCCTTCTCAAACGTAAGTATTACAAGACATCTAAAAGTCATACATAGATGTATTGTTTATAATTGCTATCATGTAGACAGTCTGATAAATAAGGTCATCTCTTGTGCTTTATCTACTTTAGATTATATACTTTAAATACAGATGCCACACATAAAGAAATTCTGGTTTAAGAGTTCTAAGTATTACTTTTGCTATAGACCTTATTCTCAATTTATATGGGAAGACCCAGCCTTTGGTATAAATAACTTATTTTCATGACAGTTTTTAAAGGGTACCACTAATGTTCACTGTCATTTGTATAGTCTTTTGGTAAGGGGGTGGCCAGAGCCTCTTTACTCTCAGTAAGTGCTCTAGGGTGATGGATAAACACACTAAATTTAACACCTTGGTTGTTTGCAGCTCTGACAAAACCACTATTGGCAGTCATCGTGATGGCTTTTAAGGTGTCTCCCGTCCCAAAAATCGTTAATGAACGGCTATTAATTTTTGAACTGGCCACTAGTCTTAAGGCACGCTCAGAAGGCTGGTCTGGCACTACACTGATTCGCTTAATTAGCACAGCAGCCCTCTCTCTCTCCCCGGGGCCTCCTAAGGTATCTAGAATAGACTGAAAATCCCTGACAGCAGATTCACAAGCAAACAACTCCTTGTCCTTCATAAATGCCTCCAGCTGAGGTAGAACCTGCTCTTTCCTCTCTTGCTCTGCTTGTTCTGTGAGTACTTTTTCTTTGAAGATAAAGTGGCAACCTCCATAACTAAGAGCAGACACATAGGTGATTAAGGTAGTAATGTCCAGATTGACTCTTTTACACACATCAACTTTGATCTCCGTTGGAAATGCAACACTTGCTAGGATGTTTTCCCGGTCTACTCTGGTCACTTGCAAGAGTTCCAGGCCCTCCTCATCTGATTCACTCTCACTCAGCTGTAGCTCTTCAGGGTGATCTAGCAGAGAGTTCACTGCCACTATGTCTCCTCTCACAGATATACCCATTTCTTTCAGCTTCTCTGCCATGGGACTGGAAACACTGTTGTAAAATGCAAAGACGATGTGGGGGTTGCTATACTGTACCGGCTGTTGGTGACTGGCCTGGAGGAAGTCTTCAGCCTGCTCAATGATGCTTTTGTCACCATACTGGCCCCTGCCCAGCCAGATGTTATGCAGTGCTTCAGCCTTTCGGCCAATGGCTTTCACCCAAGTATGACCACCATTTGCAACGACATCCACCACAAGGGTCTGCTTTTCTCCCAAGGTATCTGTGTAACCGAAGACATGGAGAACACTAACAACTTCTTCCAGGTTTTCTGCCGATTCCACGATGGCTCTCAAATGTGTTAGGTTCGTGCTTTTCAAATGAGATTCTTTAACAGCTACTTTCCCAGCTTCTACTTTCTGTAAAAATTTTAATTCTGCCTTCAATTTGCTGCACAGCTTTGCACCCCCTTCTATGCCACCTTTTCTAGATAGAGAAAGTGACTCGGCTCTCTTGATCAGTTCCTTGGCTATGGCGATTCGTTCACAGAGCATGGAGTGTGCAGACATGCTGACAGCATTATTCCTTTCCTATGAAAAGACAACAAAGTTCAAACCCTTCTCCAAAATTTCGAGGACTAAAAACCTCAATCTAGAAACAAAGCTTATGGGGGCCAAATCTATCAACCCGGACTTCTGAGTGTTTAATTTTGAAGGGACTCCTTCCCTTCACCGCTAAGGAAAGCTATACAATACTTTTGAACTTTCTGTAGGTATTCTGGAACCTGGAACACTTGTTTAGAACTTCATTTCTTCAGAAGCCAGAGGCTCCATTGCTGTCCCAGAAAAATTCTAATAAAAGTTTCAAAACATTCAACTAAAAGCTTAACATGAAACTAGGCACACGGCAGCTAGTCAGCAGTGTGCAAAACTGGAGAGTGCAACCCTGACCGAACCACGTTCGCCTCCCCGGCCTCCTCCCCTCCAAGCGGTCTTTAACCAGCTGCTCCTACACTTGCCAGGCAGTAGGTCCCGACACCGGGAATCAGGACCCGCTCCGCTGCTCGTTAACAGACCGAGGCGGCCCCGCCCGGCCCACGCTCCCTTTAGTAAGGCGCCGAGGGACGGACGGAATGAAAAGGGGCCAAGCGGAGCGCAGGGCGCAGGCCGCAGCAGAGCGGGCTCCGTGCCGGAGACGCACCGCCACCCTTCCCTCCCGCGGGCCGTCTGCTTCTCACCGGCAGTGCCCAGGACCGCGAGCGTGAGCGGGCGGCGCCGGCACGCGGAGCCGGGACCCCTGAAGCTCTCACCCCGGCAGAGCCCGCCTCACTCGGCGCCGGTGCCGCTCTGCCAGAGCGAACCCGCCGCCTCCGGCGCCTCCGACATCACGTGACCCCCGCGCCGGGTGACGCCGAGCCCGCAATTCCCAGGCGACAGCGCGGCCTGAGTGGCGCTGCCGACGCCGGTGTGGCAGCCATGTTTATTGAGGGCACACCCTCCCACTCCGCCCCCCCATACCCTGCAGTCTTCCACCCGCTGGACTAGCTCCGAGGGACTGATCCCCTGGCACCAGGAGAGAGCGGGGGCGGGGCTCCAGCTCAGCCGGGGCGCGTGGGGCTCCACTGCACTATCCAGGGCTCCCCACAGAAAGTCTGCTGTTACAGGACAGGTATGGTGGTGGCACGCCTGTAACCCTAGCACTCTGGAAGGATGAGACAGGAAGATCACAAGTTCCAGGTCAGGCCAGGCGATTTAGACCCTGTCTCAAAAAAGAGCTGGGGATGCGGCTTTGTGAGAAGGTCCTGTGGCCCCCTCCAGACCCCTAAAAGTGTGCTGTTCCAGAGATGTGCTGCCATACTGAAGAGGGTTAGTGTCCAAAGCCATCCAGAATGATTGGATTGAATGTAAACTAATTCTAAATATTAAGACTTCCAGTCAAAATTAATCCCAACTATTCTGCTCCTTCTCCACACCCTACTTAAATGACAGGAAAAGTGTGTGAAAGGGGAAAAAACAAAACAAGAGACGATACCGCAGACAAGACAGACAACACTTTCAGAAGACAGCAGTAACTCAGTGCCGCGACAGGTACAGTTCTAAGTGTTCTATGCGTATTATTCAGTCTTCCTAATCTAAAAAGCAATATACAGTATTTATAGGTAAATGAGCCACAGATAAATTATTTAAACGCAGGCGACCTCTCTGCAGATGTAAGTCGGCAGAGTTGAAAGCGTGCCTGCCTGCAGAAGGGGTTATTAAGCCAGTGAATTAAAGTGATTCACAAAGCTAAGGGCTTTGCACCTTCAGGGGCCTGGAAGGTGGGAGGCAGGATTGAAGTCGGCCTGAGGAACACGGAGGTCCTCTCTCCTACCCACTGCAGGTGGGCCATTCCTCCCCTTTCCCGGGGCAGAAGACTAAACTTGGATCCTGAAGACAGGGAGCCAGAGGTTCCAGACAAAAGATGGGAAGAGGTGCCACTTGTAATACCCTGTTTTCCTACTGAATGGGGGCCTCTGCCCCTCTACAAATGCAGGTTCCCCCTTCCCTCCCACTCCCACCCAAATCCTATTTTTCTGTAGAGAAATTAAGCAAATGAAAGACCCCAGAGAAATCTGACATTCAGCATCTCCCAGGAAGTAGGGCAGACCTCATTCACAAAGGCTTCCAAACATTTTTAAGGAAATGCAAAAAAAGTATCTTGTAACTAGAACCTTCAATTAAAAGACTATTTTGGCCATAAAACAAGGATTTCTTTTTGAGAGATGGCAGAGGACAAGTAACAGTTCCTCAAAAGTAAAAAGAGTATCTCCAAAAAAGTTGAGATGTTATGTACATGTACCAGTTCCCCATAATGAATGTAATCACTATGTACTGCAAACATGTATTCATAAAAATAAAAAATTTAAAATAAAATATTCCAAAAAATCCCAAATTTTAAATAACAGATAAACTGGGAGAAAAAAATCTACTAGAAAGATTTTTTAAAAGTCAAAACAAAAAGGTCTAGTAGGACCAGGGGTTGAGCTCAGTGGTTCCACCACCTGCCTCGCAAGCACAAGGTCCCGAGTTCGATCCCCCAGTACCAAGATAAATAAAAAAGGTCTAGTATCCAATTAACAAGTTTTAGAACCAAAAATGAAAATTCACTATGAAACTTCGGAATACTGCAGATGAAAGAAAACCTAAGAGCCCTGGAGGGGGAAATCATAAACAAAGGATTTGGTATCACATAAACAACAGCATTAGGATTCCATCAGCAATACTAGAATAGAGAAGGGCATAATGCTTTCAAAATGTGGAGATAATTTATTTCTAATCTAGAATTTTTGAACCCAGCCAACTGAGAGAATAAAGATAGTTTCAAGCAACCAGTTAGCCTGGGTTGTTAGAGGGAGACAGAAACTTCTGGGAGATGTAGAGGGGAGAATTGTTATAACTTATACATTAGCTGGCCATGAAAACAATATACAGAGGGTTTTCTAGTTTTCTTGGGGGAAGCTGGCAAGCATTTGAGGGACAGTTACACAAGAAAACAAAACAAAACCCCCAGTGAAGCAATATAAGCTACAAAAAAGTTACAAGGAACCAGTCAAAGCACACTTGAAGTCAGAAGAAAAACCTCTTAAACTAAGCATGATTAACTGAGTAAACTGAGGCAGGGAAAGGGGCTGTGACAGTGATAGGACTGTCATTATCAGGACTGTCATTATCTGACAGAGTAAAATGTCAACAGAGGGGCTAAACTTCAGGAATCCAAAAACCATTATTATCCTATTTTGAAATATGGAGTCGAGGAAGCAACTGATGAAAAACCTAAAAAAAAAGTAAGGGCAGAACTCAGGACATCGCTGATGAAGTATTACTTCACATTTTAAGCACATCCTCATGCTTAGTGAGTTATCATTCACTTGGCTGCCAGGTATTTCCAGCCCCCTAAACAACAGGGTAGAGGGCAGAGCGTTAAGTTGAAGAACCACAAGGCAACATGACACTGACATAGGACCCTTGGACTGCTTTTCAGGATATCAGGATTCTAACCCAAGGGCTGACCAGCTCCTCCATGTTCTTGGAAATCATGAAACATGTTTGCTGTTCTGTACAGTGCGGGGTCAGAGAACTCCCCTACAGTGGCAAGGAGAATCTTGTTTACAGATGAGGTTACTCACTGTTAGTGGGTTCCTCCCATAAAAACAAGTGGGCAATGTGAGACCTAACTAACTCCATTTTAAAGTTTGACTCCATCTTAAAATAAGACAGTGAAGTGGCCTTGACATAAATTCCACTTCACTGAAGTCAACTATTCCCCTAGTCTCCTTTGTGCCCATAAAATGATGATAAAATGTCCTTGCTGTGGGACAACAGATAAAAAAAGGACACAGCTCCTAACTCAATCCTCTGTCTGCCCAGAAAACAGATGCTCCCGGGCCCATTATCTATAGAACATTCTGTCAATGTGCTGATTGTTCCTTTTTCCCATAAACTCTACATGTAGCCACCCCTCAACCCCCCATGCTTGCTAAATATCAACCAATCATGTAACTGCTAAATGGAACATCCCCAAACCTTGCGGTAGCCACAATAAAAACCCTGCTGATTTGGAATTCGGGCTCTCAATCCTGATCCGCTGCATCGGTGACGGTTGAGTGCCCCTGCTCGAGTTTGAATAAACGACCCTCGTGTGTTTACATCGGAATCGGCTCCTTGGTGGTCTCTGGGGACTTCGCGATCTGGGCACAACAGGCAACACATGAAAATTCCTGATGTTCCTTTACTGATGTGGAATATTTTAGCACTCAGTAATCATAAGCTCTGTGTTAGTCCTCTTATTTATCCCTCCTCTCTTGCCTATATGTGAATTTTAAACATTTCTGTGTTTCTCTGCGAATAACTTTTATAACTGTAAATTCATGGTTCAGTAAGGAACTGGGACAGGGAAAGGCTGGAACAAAATGAAGATAAAAGTTTTTTAAGATACAAATTGAACCCAAAGTAGGGGGCTGTGTACATTAGGAGCATTATGATACTTAAGTCTCCTCTCCCAAGAACTGGACAAAAAGGAACAGCTTAAATAGTAAGGACAATGAAAAGAATAACTGAGCACAAAGGGAGTGGAACTGGAGGCAGCTTCAATTGGAACTGGACTCTGGAGCAGGAAGCAGAAAACTGAACCTGGATCTAATCCTCTTCAGCCAATTTTTCCTCCTTTATTCTGTAGGATGAATTACTGGCACTCAATAAAAACATACAAGCTTTTTGTCACATTTATGTATCTTTACTCTTCCCTTCTTTGATTTGTAGAAATCTGGCATTCCTTTGGTTTAATACTAGACACTAGAAAGGGCCTAAGTAAATTCAAGGGCAGCTAACAGGGTATTTAACTATTAATCATGCCAGGCTTTACACTTGCTTTATGAAATTTAGTCAAAAAAGAAACAAAAAGCCCTCTGATGTAATTACCTTTGCCATTCCTTTCACTACTATGTTCACTTTTAAGTGTGCTGGAATCACAACAGACCAACAGCTCATACGAGGTTTAGCAGAGATGTCCTCAAGACAGACATCGTCAAGCAATGCCAAGTTGCCATAGCCCATCTCCTAAGATGCTTCCTTCACCCTAACAAGACACGGGTGCCATGGGAGAAGTAGCAGAACTGCAAACCCTGCTAAAAATGCTCTAAGGTTAGGCTCTTTCTGTAAACTTAGCTAAACCTTAAACAAGTGTTTTAACTATATTTAAATAATGGAACTGCCTACTCCCTCTTCATGCTGTTAAAGACTGACAGTCATGAACTCTGTTCTGCAAACCAGACTAATGATCTGATTTCTTTTTCCTAAGAGGCCTTAAAAAAACTTCCAAAGAAACAAAGCTATCTTATATGTGAACACTGCTGTTTGCTTCCTCCCAAGAACCTTACTCAGAGCATAGCCTCTGACTACAAGATTAGTGAGGGACAGCCTTAGGCTGGTTCTGATATTTAGGTTTAGTATTTTCTTCCCAGCACTTATGTCCACCCTTGAACTAAAAAGGTCTGAACAGTTTAGGAGTTTTAAAAAATATTCTTACCTACTTGTGACAGGCAAACCAATAGGACAAGCAGACCATGGCTTATTTACTTATAAAATACGTCTCCCCCAGGAGACCTGTGTGGCTTGGTTCCCAAAGCTCCAGTGCAGCTGTACCAAGCACTCTAGGACAATGATAGCGAACCTTTAAGAGCTTTCAATGGTAAGCAACAGCCCACCGTGGCAGATGTGGCCTAAGTTCACCACCACTGCGCTAGGATCTCACTGATCCCACATCTAAATGTACGCAACACCTGTGCTTGTCTCATGAATCTGTGAGGCTGTAGATTCTCTCCACTCTAAACGTAGTTTACCAAAACCCACATTGTGCTTTACAGAAACACAGGCAGCATCTGCTATAAATGGGGTGGGGCCTGACTGAACTAAAGTGCATAAAGCAGAAGAGTGATTTCATCATTCTGCCTTGCAGTATAGTTTCTAGAAATCAACTGTAAGGAATAGCAGGAAATAAAATGCTCAATGTTAAAATCTCCAATGAAATGTTAAAATTTTACTAACTCCTAAAAATCTGGAAGTTGCATTTAACAGTTTATTATGATTTATAAGTGTCATTTTAAAAACATCAGTCCATTAAACCATGTAGAAATAAGTATGCAAAAAGTCTGCAAAACAAAACATACTTTAAACATGTTTAAGTAGATAGATTATCTGAAATTTCAGGTCACTCAGTCACTTCATTATTATGCAATGGCAGCCAAGTAGTCCTTAACTTCTGTCGGTGTGAGCCTCCGGAAACCAGCTTCATTGCAGATGCCAACCTCTATGTTATCTTCTGTCATCTGCCCTTCAAAGCTCTCCTGTTGGGCAAGGGAGGAAAAAAAGTCAACTTTTCAGACAATCAGTCAGAAAACCATAAATCCAGTTGGCAGATGCTGAGCTAACCTTTAGGGTTAAGATGGCTGTGTGAATGGCATCTTCAAGCTCCAAATCTTCATTGTATCTAAAGAAATTTTTTTAAAATTAATTTATGGTACTGTTTACATTCCTTATGATTACACAATGACAGCAACAGCATTAAGGTTTTCTAAAAATCAAAGAAACTCTTAAAACATTACACATTAATTCCTCTAAATCACTTCACTTTGGAGACAGATGTCCCCAAATAAGGAATTAGGGCCAGGGATTTAGCTCAGTGGTTCTATCGCCTGCCTCGCAAGTGCAAGGTCCCAAGTTCGATCCCCAGTACCAAAAAAAAAAAAAAAATGAAAGAAATTGACTATGACTTAGTACTTAATCCTAAACATTATAGAAAGACTATAATTCTAAAATGAATTTATTTTAGGAAACTTCATAAGTATTAATGCATTCATGTAATTGGGGTGTGGCACCAGCACGCATCGCAATAATTTTAAAAAGTAAAGCAAAAAACCAGACCTCTGCTAAAATCTTGTTTGTCCTTATAACCTATCAGATGTTACGACATGTGAACTATTTGGAAGACTCACTAATAAGTACAAGTTAAAGAAAAGTGTTTTATGATCCCATGGTTAAGTTTACTACTCATCTGTAATAGCCTTGGTATTAACATTATATGAAGAATGGATGGAAGGATCATCTGTCAGTCCAAGCCAATTACACAATCTTTCTGTTCAAAGGCAGGCTGCTGTTGGAAGACCACATAACAGTGAGTGTGGATACAGCTGGGATACGGGACAGCAGCCAGCCGTGCTCAGAGGGCTGCAGACCTTATAGTGCCCCACCACTACATCATGTATTAAATCTGCTCAACACCAGGTACTGGGTTCTCCAATTTTTATTATCATTATCATTAAATCGCTTAAAATGTTTTCTACTCTAAATATAATGTTCTTCTTTTGTTTATTTTTTTAAATGGTGGGAAAAATGAAATAAAACAATATAAAATACTTAGGATACAACCAGAAGAATGTAGAAAAAGACGTCCTTTAGAAATAAATAACTCCTTGATACTGAACTTTAGGTTGCCAGGATGTTGACAAGTTTTGTTTGCCTGTAACTAGGTTCAAATACAGACTGATAAGACGAATTTGTTCAGATTCATGAAATGACTAAGTAGTGCTGAAAATCGTAAAGTGAGTTTGCCAATGAATCCAGTTACAGTGAGCCTACCTTTTCTCAAGGAAAGTTTTCCCATTCACATAGTTCTTTCCCATTGCTGTGGCCTTCCAGGCAAAGTAAGCTCCCTAATCAGGAAGGGAAAGAGCCTTATTTAAAAACATTAATACAACTACATGCTCTGCCTTTTGCTTTTTAACTCTACACTTGTTCTCTTAACTTCTATGGTCAGAGTATTTACTGGGATGGAATGGAAACATCACAGGTTATTTTTTCAAAAGGTTATTAAGAGGGATAGATGACAGACATGAAGGAATCTGAAAGCTAAGAAGTTTGGTACCTTGAATGTGATGATGGTTTCCTCAAGTATTTACATAGATCAAAATTCATCAAGCTTATGATGCAACTTACTGTACATAAATTGTTCAAAAGCCAGTAAAAGGAAACTAAGGTTAATGTACAGCAAATAATCAAGGAACTTAAAAATGTGTCATTTAAATTTGAAAACTAGTTATCAATTCATCATTACTGAATACATTAAAAAGGCAGTTTTTCATTAAAAACATTCAAAGGGTCTGATATTTTATAATCTGAGGTGAAATGAAAGCAGTAGCAATGTCATATGTAACATAGCCTCATCTGTTGAAAAATATACACATGTACATAGAAAAGAATCCTAACAAAAATATATCAAATACATTAAAAGACACAGTTGCCTTCTAAATACAAGAAACAACAGGCCAAAGATGAGCATAATTTTATAGACAGTGGCTTTTGCAACCCACTGGAAAGCAAGGGAAGAGGGCTTGTCATTTACCTTCAGAAGCTCAGAGATGGGGTAACAACACTGTCAATAGTTCCCAAAATACTTACTTTTCTGATTTAAGTAAAAGCCAAAATATTTTTCTTTTGCCTTTTAACTTTGTAGGGTTAGGTCATAAGATTTGCATTGAGTAACCTTGTAATTATCTAATAATCCACAATGAAAGATGAAAGTTTTCCTCACAGCACAGGGACAGGTGTAGAGTGGTATTTTCTCTAGAAACACCTTACCCAGATCCCAAGCTCCTATAGTAAGAGTCCACAACTCACTGAAGATATTGGTTACACACTCATTTTGTAAAACACTGAATGAAAGATGAGGAGAAAGATTACAACAATGTCTTCCAGGTCCACATCTTTAATTGCAGTATTTTCCAAAATAACAAACTTCTATAGATTTAATGAGAGTGGGTAACAACTATTTCAACAAGTCACTGAAGTATGTGGCGTTAATGAACATGATAGAATAAGAGGGCAAAACTAATGTAGTTTGTAACTACTTTACATATTCTAAGGCCCAAATGAAAAGGAGGAAATTGTTAAGTTTTCATGGCTTCTATTTTTATTAGATATTCAAAGAGCAATCCTTCAGATATACCAAATAATACTTACAGATGGGTCTGACTGAAATAAATATGGTCGTCCCTCATTCCAACCACAAATAAGTAAAGAAACACCAAATGGACGAACCCCACTGCAGAAAGAAAAATAGCAATTGGTATCTTTGTGGTGTTAAAAATCATCCTCAAGTGCGAATCTATCAATACTCTCAAGCAAAGTAAGTTATCAAGTAAACTGAATTCGACCGAAGTTTATTAAAAAGTACTTAACTCCTTTCTAAATGGGTCAACTGAAAATGAGTTTTCTTTAAGGCAGAGAGGAAGAGTAATTCTGGAGCCACACCTGGCTGTGGTGCTCCCTGAGGCTCATGTGTGGAAGTTGGCTCCTGACCTGATGATGCTGAGAAGTACTGAATCTTTAAAAGGGGCACCCAGTGGAAGGCACTGTGGTCACAGGACACCATCCTGAGGAAGGACTGCTGCTGGTTTCTTAGAGTGGGCCATCTTGATGGAGTGGATTACTTCTCCCAAGAGTGGCTGTTACAAAGGAGCAAGCCGCTCTGCCTGCCCTTGCTTCCTTTCTCAACATACAAACTCTCTTGCAAGAGCTCTAGCCATGCAGTGCTACCTGCCAGAAGGCCTTCATCACACCAGCACCAGGCTGTCAGGCCTCCAGAAACGTGAGCCTCTTCTGTAAAGGACCCAGCCTCAAGTGTCAAACACAGTTAAGACAAGAAACATCTAATAAAGACAATGGACCCACTAAGTGTGGAGTAACATTCAGTGCCCTAATAAATACAATTTTCAACTAGTGCAGACTTTCCCAGGTTTACATATCAACAACTACGTTTACACTACCTTACTTAAACCCAGACTTAAAAACACTGGAATTAGAATCGACATAATGTCTTTCACCATGTGCTCAAAATCATTTCCGGCCGGAAAGATAATGTAGCAGTGCAGATTGCCCATAAATAAGTATGTTAAGAACTCTGCATCTACAAGCTTTCTACTACTGTATGAATGAGGAAACATTCACTTTTTCCCTAAGAAAATATTCTAGGTCCAGTTAAGAACAGAAACATTCAGCATAGTGATTGTCTCTACTTGTTATACAAATGCAGGAATATTAAGTCTCCTCCTAAAAACTCACCCTTTTAAAATGACTTTTTTCCCTCCTAATTCATGACATTTCAAATAATAAAAGCACCTTACCCTGACTGGGTGTACTCCTGCATCACAGAAGCTACTCTCTGTACCAGCTGGGCTGTGGGGATGGGCTCCTGGTAAACAAGGTAGTACTGCTGGGCCAGTTTCCGAGCTCTGTGCACAAGCACTCTAGCACACAAGGAAGATGGTAGCATCAGTTAAAATTAAGATGCTCTACTACTTGAAGACCCATTCCTTTTCTATAAGCATACATGTTATCTTAAAGACAGCTGTTGGTCAGTCAATCTTACTCTGCCATCCGATTCCAATCGATTTAGAAGAACAAAGTATCAGAGGACCTCACTGATAGGAGATAAAGACAAGAACATGGCAAAAAGGAGGAAAAGCAGGAACTAGAATACCTAGTTTAAAAAGTGAGGTTTCTTTCACTCCATGGATTCTCCAAGGCTGCAACCCTTATCCCCAGGGCAGCTACTCTGTCTTTTTATGTCTCACCATGTCAACACCCACAATATACATGTGAACGCAATCCCAGGATATTTTTTTCTCTACCTCTATCTTCTCTGCAGACTGCCTACACCCCAGAATACTCTTCAGAGGTTAAGAAAGAGTAAAAAACTACTTTTAACTTTAGGTATATTGTCAAAAGTTATTAAGGATCTACAACAAACAGATTAGCCCGACATACAGAATTTATCTTTACCTGCTCATGTATCACAGATCTGAAATACATTATATACTCACCTAAATTTATTCTATCAGTGGTGGCACAATGGCCATAACCCTTCCATTCACAGTCACCCCACCCACTATAATGGAGCCTGATCACATTCCAGTGACCCTGTTGGTTTTTCTGACCCATTAAAGTGAAATGTTGGCTTTATCTCGCTCTACAAAAATCATGAGTATTAAAGATTGACAAACACAGCAAGCTGCCCATCACTTTCAACTTGCTGGTGAAATACAAAGGCAGCGATTCTACGAGCATCTGTAGCCCAGCTGGCTGTCACTCTGTAACATCCAGTGGCCTTTGGGAATTTTGATCCTTTGACCAGAACAGAAATAATGATAATGAGGTTAACTCTGAATGGTAATGATTTCTTTTGCCACCTGATATTTTTTAAAAATCACTAATTATAACGTGTATTGCTTTGATCATTTTTAAAGTGCATTACAGAACACCAAAGCTCTTTATGCTCTATTCCTTTTTTTTTTATGCTCAATTCTTAGATGGTAGAAGAGGACAATTATCAGAAGGTAAAGTCCACTAAACAAGAGAAATAAGTAGGCACAACAGAGGGGTACTGAGTTCCTTAAAGTGACCCAATCCAGTTGCCAATGACTTTTCTCCTTAAAGTACAGATTACAATCAATTCATGAGATAGTGAAAAACTATATAAATAACATAAAGTACCTGTAATCTGGGCCCATGCCACTGTACACCAAACCTATGTGCTTGGTAATTGGCTCCACTTTGTGTACACTTCGCTCATCATACAGAATAGACTTCTGTTTCTTCTCAGTTGCTAATACCACACCATTTGCAGCTTAAAGGAAAAAAAAAAAAAAACCTGTATGTTTAATCTTCTAAAAGATATTATTTCAACAGCTTTTTAATTATGGATGTATTAAACCCAAACTCTTTATTTTCTGTAATTTGTAAAACCTTTTCATCAGGATTTTTTTTGGGGGGGAGACAGGTATCAAAGATGGAACTCAGGACCTTGCAAGGCAAGCGTGGTGCCACTGAGCTAAATCCCCGGCCCGATACAGGATTCTTGTATCGGAATTACCTAAGAAATAGTAAAATCCATTTTACCCTCACTGGCCCATTTACATTGCACTAAAAACATATCCCTATAGCTAATGGTATTACGCAACCTCTCTTAAAGTACTCCAGGATACCTGCAACCTTATAGGTTTTAGAATAATGGATTTCTGCCAACTTGATCAACTGTTCTTTTAACATAAAAATTTAAAATAAATGTAGATCCTTTAAAAAAATGCTAGGAAATGAAACACTTATAGAATCTTTAGGCTGTTTTATAATTAGCCTTTTTAAAAGATATATGTGGGGAGGAAAAACTGCCAAGGAACAGTGATAAACAGTGGAAAAAATGAAAGAATATTCAATTTTCTGAGTGATAAGAACTATCTGTGGGCTATCACAACTAACACATAGAGGAACTAAATTTACTCTGAAAGGAAACTGTAATCACTTCATAAACTTACTATTTTCTTTAAAATTAAAAATATGCTAACAAAAAAGAGCTGCTAAAAATTATGCTGCCATAGCTATTATTTATAAATTACTAATTTTAAAAAAATAGGATAATGACTAAAAAACATCTCAAGGTAGGAAGCACTTCCTTACCTTTAATTCCCACTGAAGGGGCTCCTCCAGCTACAGCAGCCAATGCATATTCAATCTGGACAAGTTTACCAGACGGGCTGAAAGGAAACACAGCTATGTGTGAAGGTCACATATTTTCAAGTATTTATTGTTGGACATCTCTGAGAAAGGGCAGATGTGTCAGTCAAACGCATTAATCAATCGTACCCCGAGGAACAGCTGGCCCTTGAAATCTGTCATGAAGTTATTCATTCATAAACTAAGGCAATTTGAACTCGCTCATAATGAAGCGCTGCTTCTCTTTCCTTCAACTGTCTTTCATCTGCCACTCAGAGCAGTATTACTACTTATGCCTCTTTTACCACTTACCAACCCCCTAAGTGTGGGCAAATTGCATGACCTTTCAGTGTGTGTTTTCTTATCTATAAAATGAGGATAATCACCATTGTGATGATTAATGAACTGATACCTGTAAGATTCTGGCACAAAATTAGTGAGAAGAAAGTACTGAAAAATAATATTATTAAGAATAAATGTCTCTTAAAAACAAAATAAGATGTTTTTCATGTGCACTTCTTTTAGAAAGTAGACAGAACCTAAGATGTAAGACCTAGCTTATTATTCACAACAAAGTAGTCTCTGTACAATGGTACCTTGGTTCACAAACTTGATTCCACAATTCTGGTCGCAAACTGAGTTGGATGAAAACCAAATCAAATTCCATGGTTAGATTCAATGCTGACCTTACAGGAAAATCTGATTCAATTCTCCTGCAGTTTGGTTTGCAACGAGAATCGTGCAGAGAATTGAGTTCGTGAATTGAAGTATTACTGTATTTTACTTTTGTATTATATTTGATTCCTAATTCTAGGAACCATTTGATGGTCGATCTTAACAGATCCAGTCCCACTGGTTTGGTAGCTAAATATCAGTCCCAAACTGGACCTTTAGGTCACACTTTCACACTAGTCATTCAGTTAGTGATCATAAACATCACAAACTAACCTCATTTTATAAAGAAAAAAATCCCCCAAAATAATTTTTGCAACGTGACACAACTAGATCCACATCTCCTGTCTACTACTGAAAAAAAAATCGTAAATTTCAGAAGGCCAACTGTTTTCATTTCATACAATTATAATCTGTCACTCTAATCTCAAGACATCATTCCACCTTGCTCCAGTCATACAGACTAGTCTTAAACCTCAGAAACTCTTCCGACAAGCTAATTCCCCTGTCTCTGAAATTCATTTCTCTATTCCCTGGTGAGCTCCTTCCTGGCCATCCTGCAGTCCTTAGTGGCTGTGCCATGTCCTCAGGAAAGCTGCCTGAACTCTCATACAAGACCAGATGCCACACAATCATGCCTCTGGTGTCCTGTACTTCTTCCTCTTTGGCTAAAGCTCATCATATTTCAACTATTTCAGGATTCCAGCATATAACCTAGCAATAGAAATCCACAGTTATTTGGATGATAAAGATACATTTAGACTGATTTAAAAAATAAAACTAAGAGCAGCAGCTTAAAGACAACAAAATTAGCTGACCTGAGAAGAAAACATCAGTAATTATTCAGATTTTAAAAGTTAGGCTGGGGCCAGGGATGTAGCTCAGCGGCACAGCATCTGCCTGGCAAGCACAAGGTTCTGAGTTCAATCCCCAGTACCAAAAAGAAAAAAAAAAGGCTGAATATTTGCTCCTTTAATAGTCACTGTTTCAGTGACCCTCTGGGTCTACCCAGCTTTCAGTATTGTTCAATACTTAGTTCACAGACCTGTGAGGAATATTTAAAAACTCATGAAAACTTATTTTCTCCACTCCCATTATCTGTCCCTGCCTCTATCACTGCATCATTCTGTGTGTTAAGCTCACTAACCTGGGTATGCTGAACATTCAAACATCTTCTCTGGTCTTTAATGCCACTATCCCATTCTAAAGCACCAGTATCTCTACCTGGGATAAATGAAAGATCTATTAGTTTTCCTCGCTCACCTCCAGCCAGTTATCTTTGTACATCACTCCCACTTAAGTCCTGTAATAATGTCCTGGCTCACTTAAAATAAATATTACTCATTTTACAAGCCCTCAATCACATTATCTCCTTGCTTACAGTCTACTCTCTGTCAGCGGTTCTCTCTACTGCTGTATTTTCGAATAGCTGGCTTCTTTTCAGCTTCTGGTCTCAAAAATCTTCCCTAAGCATGGCCCTTTCCTGACAGTTATGTCCCTTGTTTCATCCTTTTTAAATAAAATTCTTAAATAAGAGAAAAACATTTTCCAAATTCATTAGTAGGCACCAATTTGCTCATCTATTGTTAATAACCCCAACTAAATGTAAGCCACAAGAACGCCTTTCTGGTGTCTAGTCACTTGCCCCAGTGTAGTTTAATTCTGATTACAAGACAGAAAGTTTCCTTTTTTGTCTAAAAGAGTTGAATCCATCATGTTAAAAAAAAGTTTGTTAGGGGCCGGGGATTTAGCTCAGTGGTTCCAGCGCCCACCTCGAAAGCGGAAGGACCCAAGTTCGATCCCCAGTACCAAAAAAAAAAGAGTATATGTCCTTAGTACTTATTAAAAAGTTGCCAAGAGGAAGGCATTTCTAATTTCAGAAAGACAACATGATGTAATGGAAAGTTTTAATTTCTGTCATCAGAAAAAATTTAGTTTGAATGTCAACACAACTACTCATGGATAACCTTTGTCTGAGGAGTGGTTAGCTCATCTGTAACAGGCTGACACAACATTCATCATAGATGGTAGTGGAAAGCAAAAGAATTGGTCAAGTTGCACCTAAACAGAAAATACTCAACAAGTGAGATCCCATCTGTCTTCAGTTGTTCAGACAGGACAACAAATAGTGTGGCAATAACAATCCTTGAGAAAACGGTCAAACTAGAATCCTTCCCTGGTGGATTTAAAGAATTTTTCCGTGATTTTCTTACACTGGGTATAATTGTTTGTCAACTGTATTTTGAAAAGTATACTTATTACTTTAATTCCCTGTTCTACAATAGAAGGCCTAAAACCTTTTGAAAGTATACCTCCATTCGAAGATTTAAAAAAAAGGATTTAGCATGTATTATAACCTAACGGTTTGGATCCACAAAAAACTGTCAGACAATCAGTGCTTTCGTTTCTCAGTCCTCGTGCTTCTATCAGGGGCCTTGGACAAACCGAAAGCGGAAAGTTTCAAGAGTCCAAAGAGAGACCAGCACTCCAACCTAACAACAAAGCTAAGATTTAAACAAAACACGCGACTCCACGCATTGACTAAGACTCCAAGCTTCAGAAGCTCCCGCCCGCATCAGGCCTACTTGGAAGAAAATCCCGAGTTCTGAACGGGCCACCTGGAAAGAACTGGTACAAAAGTGCCTTTTTCTTCAGTCTCCAGGGAGAAGGCGAATGACTGCCTAGAGCCCCCCAGGAACGCAGCCCCAAGTTCGCCCTGATCTCCGGGACCCGCTCTTCCGGGCCTGGAGTCTGCCCTACTAATGACTATGCAAAGCCGCATTCCCACCTCCGTCCCCTCTTGGACTCTCGGAAAGCACCAAGCCAGAAGCAAGGACGCACAAAGCAGAGTTGGGCGAGCTCCTGCAACCTTTGTTACGCCGAGGTACCTTGAGGGTCCCTTCCATACCTGAAAGTTGTCAGCGAAAAGCTATACCCGCGTTCCGCCATCTTTATCCGGAGAGCCCAAGCACATCCGCACACATGCGCACTATAGTCACTTTTATTTTTACTTCCCGTCCCCAAGCCCTCCTTTCTCTCTGATTGGAGGAGAAAGTCAAAGCCGTTCCGTAGGAATTTTGGGAGTTATAGTTTCAGAAGCCAGATTTGCCCTATTCTGGATCTGTGCGCATGCTCGAAGAAGGGGCGGGACCCAGCAGCCCAGTGAGATCAAACTTCCGGCGAGGAACATGGCGGGAGCCTTGCTGGTGTTGGTGGTTCCGCGGGGGCCGGCGTCCCGGGGATTGCTCCGAAACTGTTGGGATTTTCTGCAGCGGAAATTCCAGCAAAGCTGGCCAGGTCTTCCCAGTCCTCCGTGGGGTAAGTGCAGAAAGGCTCCTCGAGGAGTGGATTGATGCGGGGACCCCAGAGTGCGTAATTAAACGCTGCTCTTAGATTTCGCTCCCTCCCTCGTTTGATCCGCTGCTCAGCATCCAGAATGTACCCAGTGCCTTTTGCTTAGCAGCAGCTCACTTAATTTTGCGTTCTTCACAAAAACAAAACAAAAAGGCTGTGTCTGCTAGCTCGCATCTAGCAAAGTTAGGGTTCTCTTCCCCCACAAAGACTGGGAGACAGAGCCCCTGTCCAGACTGGCTGATTATATTTCAAAGGAATTGCCTCCGTGCCTTGAGCTCATGAGCTGCAGGGGATGCATCTGTACAGTTGTTAAGTCCTTTGCAGTTAACGCAGTAAAAGAAGAGGGGCGGGGGTCAGGAGCCTGTCATAAGTTGGTGTTGGTGTATGTGTATTGACGAGAACAAAATATATTTTCCTGGCAACATTGAGTTTTCTCAGTTAAGCACATTAAGAGGAGCTGAGGTCATCCTGGGGACAGGATCTTACGCTGCTGGCGGTCTTGCTGGAGTTTGGATAGAGTTGTGCGTGTACAGCGCCACAGCGCCGCAGTTCTCTTTTGGCCTCAAAGATGGTCACTCTGGATCTCTGTTGTCTTTCCTTTTCAGACCTCACCACATGCACACGGGATGCAGTTTGTCCTGCTGTGTGATGTTTAAGCTTTATGAATCCGAATTCTGATGCCTGTATTTACTTCAGGAACTAATTTTAATTAGAAATATCTTGGATGTAAAAGCTGTTGTCTTTTTGACATTTACAAAGTATCTCAAAAGAGATAATACCCGGGCAGTATGAACAGATACACGCCAAGAAGATATGTATCACTATGTACTAATCACTGTGCTAGGACAGTTTTCTTTATGTGCTGTCGGGGATAATCTTAACAACACTGGTAGGTGTCTTCACTTTTTCAGGTGAACAGGTAGGCTCAGAAAGGTCCTAAATCACAAGGTCAATCCAGAGCCTGTCTTACAAAACACCAGGCTGTTCTTAACAATACTTTTAGATCTACGGAAAAACAACACCATTTGTTAAGTGTACTTAAGCTTTATGTACTTTGAAGAGTTCTTAAAATCAAAAGAAGTATCACAAGTCTGAAGAACAGCAAAGAAGATAAAGGAATTTCTTTGATTTGTAAACAGTTTGGAAAAACAAGATTGAAACATTGATAGTCATGTAAATAGTACTATACATTGAAGTGGAGAACTAGCTCTTTTTCCTAGAGAACAAATGGGGAATCAAGATTACATATTAATGAAGAACTTAATGACAAGGAATCTACCAAGTTATATGATAAAAGGCTCTGTGTTTGAATTTAAAAAAAAAAAAAACCAGTACAGAATGATCTCAGTGCACGTTAGAAATACGTTTATGAAATCTCAATCTTAGATTTACTTGTACCTTAAGTAGATACTGTTACCAAGTAAAATGTGGACAATTGAATAACTTCTTTTAAAGTTATGCACTTGTCAAACTTTATTCATGTTCACTACTAAACCCTTGAGTCTTATATTTCATGATGTAAGAAACTAGAATTTCACTCATCTCATTTCAGCAAGTTCCATTAAAAAACTTCAGTTTGTATTATTTAAAAATGCCTTTTTTATTAGCTGTAGTACTATATATTTTAATGGCTACATTTCCTGTTCAGTGTCTACAGAATTTAACATGCTAAACTGTCTATGTATATGTGTATTTGTGTGTGTGGGTCTTGACATGTCCCATTGGATTATGAAGGAGAATGATATTTATAGATAGTCATTTAGGAGCTGGAAATTGATCCTATATCTCCATGTTTTATTTTATAGGACCAGCATTAGCTGTCCAGGGCCCAGTGATATTTACAGAGCCAGCAAATGATACCAGTGGAAGTAAGGAGAATTCCAGCCTCTTGGATAGTATCTTTTGGATGGCAGCTCCCAAAAACAGACGCAGTATTGAAGTTAACCGGTGTAGAAGAAGAAACCCCTGGAAGCTTATTAAAGTTAAGGTAATTTATTCATTTCTGTGAGTATTCTTTTCCTCAAGTCCACAGCATCCAATATTGTTATGGTTATATTCATGTAGCCTATGGATGAATTATTCTCACATCTTATATGTCTACTGTCTGCCCTAGCTAAAATACAGTAGTCTCATCCTTTAAATCTACTGTCCTCTGTCCCAAATACTAAAAACACAGTCAAAGAAAAGGTTTAGAGATTTGACAGAGGACTAGGTTGTGAAGAGCTCACATGACTTTTAAATTATGAGCTGTATCAGTCATGGACTGAGTGATTTGAATTACAAATGGATAAACATACTGCAGTAATACTGAGATTAAAGTCAGAAGTGGTGGGCATGTTGGATCTTGGATTTTACTAGTCCTTATATATTTCACATATTCTTTACTATGTCCAATAAAATACTGTGAAGGACAATCCTAGCCTCTGATACATCGCTCAGTGCTTTCTGTGCATTGTCCCATCATATTCTCATATCAGTCCTCCAAAGCAAACATCACTTTCTTCATTTTATAGGATGAAGAAATCGAGGCCAAAAGAATTTGTCTGGGATCACAGAGCTATTAAGTGGAAAAGCCAGAATTTGATTACTAGAAGTCTGATTTTTGAACTCATATTTCTCTTGAAACTTTTCTTTGTGCGCCCAGACAATTCCGGGTTCACCTACCCTGTAATATAGATGAATTCTGTTCACTGATCTAACTGAAAAAAAATTATAATACTTATAGTGTTAATTTGTGGCTATAACAGTTACCATTTCAATTCTTGCTTACTTCATGGCATTTCACCACAGCAGCTCTGTGTGGATGAAATTCAAGAGCCGAGTTTCTACACTCACATTTAAACCCTTGGAATTTAAACCAAAAAGTATTTCTGAGTCACGGTAGGGGCTGAAATTTAGATCTGGAACTGAAAAACATTTTACTTAAGACTCCATAAAATTTGATCTTGAGGATTTAGGATTTTAGAAATGAGATCTTGTACCAATCAGTTACCTAAGTTCTCTGACTGGTCTTATCTTGTGTATACATTTTCTTTTATAGGTTATTTCCTGCTACATGTCCTACTATATTGTGTTGTGTGCTTTGAGCATGAAAAGACCAACTGACTGGTTGTCTTTTCATATCTTTAGGTGGACATGCAACCCGCCATAGCAAAGTAAAATGAGACTATGACGAGGCCAGTAATTACCGAGATTCTTTGTCCTTTCAGAAAATGAAATTTCTTTGCTCTCAGCCTCACACATGTTAGTATATTAATCTAATGAAGTATTTGAAACTTCTTCAGTGCTCTTGTTTTATTCTTTTTCTTTGTATTTTTTCAAGTCTACCTTGAAAATATGTTGATGTTTTTTAGAAGGTATAATTCTCATAGAGTTAAAGTTGGATAAACATGTATCAAAACTCATTAAAATACTCTTAAATTGTAAGTAACATCATGAGAGTTTTACATTAAAGAATAATAGATCATGAATAAAAACAAAATTACCATCTACCAAACCCATATTCTGAATAGGAATTTGAATTACACTAATAAATCAGGGGACTCCAGCTTATAAACTTACTTTTCTCAAGGTAGATTGAAAGTGAATTTACTTTTCCTTGGCATCTTATTTGAGATGCTGTCTGTATTGATCACCCCATTATGCTGATGGACTCCTTATTAGATATTTGGAGTTAGAGGACTAAACTAAAGACCACTGCTATGTTTAAGAACCAGATGTAAAGTTGGCAAACATGAATTCTAGTCCTGATTTTCTACTAATTCAAACTCAGTGTTGTTATTTTTAGTTTCTTTATTAAAGTAAGGTTGAAAGCTGGGCATGATGGCACACACTGGTTATCCCAGCACTCAGGAGGCTGAGGTAGAAGGATTGCTGTATCAGAGGCCAGCCTGAACTATATAATGAGTCCCTGTCTCAAAAAAATCAAAGTGAGATTGAATCTAGTGATACGACCTCATGTAACATGAACATTCTCAGAAAGCTAGACTGTGAACATCACTCCTGTTGGGGATTATTCGTGCATCATTTGCCTCTTGTTAATAAATGTGTTTGTTGTTTTTTTTTAAAGAACAATATCGATGTTTGTCCTGAATGTGGTCACCTAAAATTGAAACATGTCCTTTGTGGCTTTTGCTATGAGAAAGTACGCAAGGAGACTGCAGAAATCAGACAACATATAGGGAAACAAGAAGGAGGCCCGTTTAAAGCTCCCCCCACGGAGACTGTGGTCTTGTACGCAGGAGAGACACCATCCCCACACAATCAGGGCAAGAGGATCATTGAGCAAGACAAGAAGCGGCCATCCTGGTTCACCCAAAACTGACAGCAAAGATGTTAAAAGGGTAACTTCACAGTAAAACATTTCTCCTGAAATAGGAAGAGGCTTTGTTTTTTATGTTGTTGGGCTTGTTTTTAAATCAACCAATATAAAGTATAATTTATATGCAGTTATATGTGAGATAATTTGAAGAATATATGAGTAAACTAAGTGTTTATGCAAAGGTTCAATGAATTAATGTCTGTTTCTATTACAGTGTCTGGTTTTAAGGAAACAAACATAAAATTTCCAGAACAAAAATAAAATTCATAGCAAGAATTGCCTGTCTTGCTCTGGTTTTGTTTGTTTGCAAGACTTAACACAAATATTTTCATTTAAATAACATAGAAATAGGCTTTTTGAATACGTGGTATTGTTTTGTTAAGATGGTAGTCATGTCGGAATAGATTTTATTCCTTTTGTTTGTTTGTTTGTTAAATTGGAGGAATTCACTTTTATATGGACTACAGTGGACCCTTGACTTAACAAACTCAGTTTATTCACATGGGCTGATTATAACTGAAGTTGTTTGTAAGTCAAATCTATTTTTCCCATAATAAATAATGGAAATACCCATAATGCATCCCGAGTCTCCCAAAGCACCCTTTAACCTTTTCATAAAAAGGGGTTGTATAATATACGAAATTTATCAGAAACACCAATAATTTTCCTAGTATATTCACTAAAAGGATAAAATTGCCTAGTTTACCAGAAACAACAATTTCATACTGTACTCACCATTCAAGTTGACATCTTTGGCTTGCAGGAAGGGAGGATGAAAAGAAGGTGGTTATTGTTGGGAAAGAGAGCGCCCTTCCATAAGAACATCAGGAATCTGGCTCTCCAGTATCCCTTCTCTCCTTGGGAGAGTCTGTAGCCCACTGGGACCTGCTTCTGGCTCACTAGTGCTCAACCTTTTCAGAACTAAAAACTGGTCTATGGTTGTCTGTTTCTGTCTTTTCTTTAACACTGTCCTGTTGTATGACATGACATTGTCATTAGGCAGGTGAATGCAATGATTGGCTTTTTCTCTATCTGGGTGGGTTTTCTCTACAAATGTTTGTAGCTCTGTCCATTTTATCAGGATTTCCTTTATTTCAGAAGAATTTTACTGTGCTGATTATGATACTCCCCTCTTCAGAAAGCTCCTCAGCTGCCATTCTCTGTTGTTAGCCAGAAGTTGCTGAAGTAAGTTCCTCTGTAGACAGTTCCTCTGAGTGTTCCTCAACATCACCACTGTCTGCCTGCAAGCCTGTGGACTCTGCCACAATGACATTGTCATCAACCAGAGGTCAGTTGAAGGCTCAGGCTCCTCTACACAGCCTTCAGAGTCTCCTGTGTAATTTTAGACCACACTTTCTTCCAGGCAGATCTCAGTGTCCTTAGACACCGGAAAGACCAACATTTGAGTCGTAACTCAAGACTTTGGTCATAAAATTCCAGTCATAACCCATGTTGTTTATGTGTGAGGCTGGTCATAACTCAAGGGTCCACTGTAATTTACTTAGATGATAAAAATAGTTTCTTACATTTTAAATCAAAATGATATTAATTAATTTAGGTAACTCGTGAAATTTGTACTCTATAGTTTGGGGAAAGATTTTTAGTAGACAGGAGCAAATTCCATTGAACACAGAAAATATAAGGACATTACTTCTGCATTTCCTTCTAGTATGTCCATTTATTTTACTATTTTTTATATTTAATTTTATAATTCTATATTACATATTTATTTTATGATTTATTTTATAATCTTTTACATTTTATAATTTTTATATTAAAAGCCTCTTTAACTTCCTGTAATTAATTTCTTTCTTCCTCCTGTCCTGTTCTTGTGTCCACCTTGAGCCCAACATTTATTATTTTGTCTCCTGCTTCTCTTAAAAAGATAGCCTATTGAAACAATAGAGCAGCAAGAAGTAAGGGAATTATAGTTAAAAGGGAAAATCAGTAAATAAGATAAAGCTCGAGGATATACTTAAAATTCATGCCACAATAACTTGAATACTTATTAGGATTAGGCAGCAGATTCAATACTTGATCTTTATTTTCTTTGGAAAGGAGTATGTATTCATTTGTATGGATCAGTCTCCATAATCAGTCTGCAGTAGTATCTTGGCACTAAGGCCTAAGGCACACTTCTCCCATGGAGCTTTATAATGAAGATGGTGTAATGGAATAGTCCACATTGACATAACTAGAGGTAAAATGACTAGTTTCTTGGTACAGTATAGGCCAGTGATATGTTGAAGGGCATTTCCATAAAGGGAAATCTTTAGAACTTTCAAAGTATTGGAACTTCAGTAAACGGCTCCCTCAAGGTTTGGCCAGGTCCAAGCCAAGAAAAGGGTTCCAGAGCCATTGATTTTCTGCATGCTATTAAGGCTGTTTTCTGCAGGTAATTATTTTATACCTTGACAAATCACAGGTGCTATGTATTAAGGTAGATGTGCCTGAGATAGAATCACTGGTTTATGAAAGCTAAGCCTGACTAGGTATATACCTGAATATGTTCCACTCCTTACTCAGTATTGCCACTTTGGCTAATAAACTGCAAAGTGTACCTCCAGGTAACAACTTGTCCTTTGATGATGTAGACTGAATGTCTTCCCCCCCCAAAAAAGTATGTCAGATTTAATGTCTACTGTTTTGGTATTAAGAAGTGGGGCCCTTGAGAAGTAATTAGGCCCTAAATGTGAAACGTCACAAATGGGACTGCCCTTTTTAGAAGAACTGTAAGAGTTTTCTCTCAGTTCTCCATCATGGACAGATAGATTGGTTATAAAATACACCCCCCAAATAAGGCAATTATTAGATGGCAAAAGCAGTTCATGTCAGGTAACCATGTCACAAAGGAAAATGCTTAGGACTCTTTCAGGATGGTATTTTCCCCTCAGAATTACTTCTGTGGTGCATTTTATCACTTCCTACCTCAGTTTTTATCACAGAAAAGGAAAGCATCCCAATTGTATTAGGGTTCTAGGAACAGACCCAATAGGACATATAAGCGGACTTATTAGATTGGCTTACCCAGTCAAGGCTGACTTCCACCACAGCTGTTGCAACTGGAGGGCCATGTAACCCTGTACCTCCTCAGTCCAAGAAGCAGGGAGCCTCAGAACAAGAGCGACCAAGGATGCAGTCCCAGTTCAAGGCTGAAGGCTTGGAAATTCCCTGCTCAGCCATGTCTATTTGAAGGCTGAAGAATCTGGGGTCTGATGTCCTTGGGCAGCATCATTAGGCTTGGAAATTCCCTGCTCAGGCATGTCTATTTGAAGGCTGAAGAATCTAGGGTCTGATGTCCTTGGGCAGCATCATTGGCAAAAATGCACTTGCTCAAGAACAGTTGAGTGTGGATGCATATGTGAGCTTCCCCTTCTGCTTTGTGTCCCATCAGGCCACCCTGCCTATTGGTCAGTGCTTCCCACATTTAGAATGGGTCTTCTCCGCTCCGTTTAGTGACCTAAACGCCAGTCATCTCTGGAAATGTCTTCACATACACCCAGTGTTTTATCGGTATCCTAGGCATTTGTCAACCCAGCCAAGCTGACACTCAGGATTACCTATCCCAAAGACTTCGAATGTAATCATTTACATAACTTGATTCACCCATGTTTTGAACATTAGAAATTAACTCCCTTATCCTTGGTCTCCTCCTGCATCAAGATACTGAGACCTTTGGACTCTTCCAGAGGAGTTACCCAAGTTGCTTAGAGGGGAATGCCGCCAGGCGTCGGCACACCTCGCTGCTCTGCCATGGCTGGCTAGGGCACCATCTGGAGCACCGCACAGCGCGGGGGGGAAGGTGGGCAGGTGGAAGTGGTGGCCACACTCGAGGCCGAGGGAGGGGTGGCGGTTCCAGCATGAAGAGGACAGCTGGCCTAGGGGGCAGCATGAGGTCAGTGGTGGGCTTCTTGTCCCAGCGGGGCTTGCATGGGGACCCCCTGCTCACTCAGGACTTTCAGAGGAGATGCCTGTGGGGCTGCAGAAACCTCTACAAGAAGGACCTCCTCGGCCACTTCGGCTGTGTCAATGCCATTGAATTCTCCAACAATGGAGGCCAGTGGCTGGGCTCGGGAGGAGACGACCACCGGGTTTTGCTGTGGCCCATGGAACAAGCCATCCATTCTAGGGTCAAGCCCATACAGCTGAAAGGAGAGCACCATTCCAACGTTTTTTGCTTGGCTTTCAACAGTGGGAACACCAAAGTATTTTCTGGAGGAAATGATGAACAAGTTATCCTCCATGATGTTGGAAGCAGCAAGACCTTGGATGTGTTTGCTCATGAAGATGCAGTATATGGCTTGTCGGTGAGCCCAGTAAATGACAACATTTTTGCCAGCTCTTCAGACGATGGTCGAGTTCTCATTTGGGACATCCGGGAGTCTCCTCATGGAGAGCCTTTCTGCCTGGCAAACTATCCTTCAGCCTTTCACAGTGTCATGTTTAACCCTATGGAGCCCCGGTTATTGGCCACAGCCAATTCAAAGGAAGAAGTAGGACTTTGGCATATTCGAAAACCTCAGAGTTCTCTCCTGCGCTACGGTGGCAATCTATCCCTCCAAAGTGCCATGAGTGTGTGATTCAACAGCAACGGGACCCAACTCTTGGCCCTGAGGCGTCGCCTGCCTCCTGTGCTGTATGATGTCCACTCCCGCCTGCCCGTCTTCCAGTTTGACAATCAGGGTTACTTTAATTCAGGCACCATGAAAAGCTGCTGCTTCGCAGGAGATCATGACCAGTATATCCTTTCAGGCTCTGATGACTTCAACCTGTACATATGGAGAATCCCTGCAGACCCAGAAGCAGGTGGCATTGGCAGTGTGGTCAATGGAGCCTTCACGGTGCTGAAAGGGCATCAATCTATTGTTAACCGGGTCCAATTTAATCCCCACACCTACATGATCTGCTCTTCTGGGGTAGAAAAGATTATCAAGATCTGGAGCCCATACAAAGAGCCAGGATGTACCGGAGACCTCGATGGCCGCATTGAGGATGATTCCCGCTGCCTCTACACCCATGAAGAGTATATCAGCCTGGTGCTGAACAGTGGGAGCAGCCTGTCCCATGACTACGCCAATCGGTCTGTCCAGGAGGACCTCCAGATGATGGCATTCTTTGACTCCCTGGTCCGCCGAGAGATCGAGGGCTGGAGCTCGGACTGGGACAGTGACCTCAGTGAGAGCACCATCGTCCAGCGGCACACAGGGGTCAGTGAGTGCTCCGGCTACACTGACTCAGAGTCCTCGGCCTCGCTGCCCCGCTCTCCACCCCCCACC